AATGAATGAATGAATGGAATGAATGAATGAATGAATAAATGAATGAATGAATGGAATGAATGAATGGAATGAATCCAATGAAATCTTCAACGAATCGATCGTTTGGTTATACGGCAACAGCTCATAATAGATTATTTCCTTTCAATCCCACCAGCAGCACATCATAACCTCCCGCACATAGATTTTCGCTTTTGGAATAGCTTGTGGTGGCTCTTTGGGCAGGCTCCACGATCGTTTCCGCTCCACATTGCTGTACAAGATCCACTTTTCGTCCCCAGTTACCATTTCAGAAACGGCTCATTTCCTTTTCGTTTGAACAACGAGTCGCATACGGAGACGCGATCCACCAAATTGCGCTAGCTCAGTTTGTGAGGTACCCAAACATCGAGGCGCTTAACAAAACCAAGACCCAACAAATGGTCATCGACGGTTGATTTCGGGACACTACATTAGGCCTTTCTCCTATTTCACGAGTAAAGATGTGCCCATCCTTTTCGCTCATCATTTTGATTTGATCCTCTTCAAGTGATGATGGCCTCCCTGCGCGTTGCCGATCTTCGAGGTTGATTTCACCCCGCTTAAATCTCGCAAACCATTTACGAAGTGACGTTCATGTAGAGCATCCTCTCCGTGAAAGCGCCGGTCATTCTCGCGGTTTGAGCTGCATTTTTTCCTTTGCGTTAGAAGAAAAGCATTAGATGGCGAAAATTCACGTGGATGTCTTCCATTTTCACTTAAGCCCTATACAAAGAAACTTCAAAGAAAATCAACATAACAAGGGATATAGATAAAAATTTACACTTTCAGAAAATATATGACTATATGAAGTTATGCCAACGATCTTTTTCAAAGCAATTGATGAACTGAGGGTGTTCAAATCGCCACGAACTTTTCGGACAACCCAACATTCAAAAGACATAACGCAACGCGCTTGACTTGTTCGGTTTCGGGCCATCTTTTTCACCAGCGCAAAACATCAATGCTGCTACGTTTCGTAAAGTTGGGAGCTTATATAGGCTGCTAGATCTACTGCGTTGCAACGATCGCCGTGAACGAAACCTGCACCATATTGCGAGGCAGAGATCTCTTCCAACTGTACCGTTTCGGCGTATGTTTTATAAAGAACCTGAACCTGTGCCAAATGTAGATGTCAAAGTGCGGATACTGTCAGCTGGTGTGCTTAACGTGTTAAATCAACATACGCGACATCAGAACAGCATTTGGCATTCCAGCAATGGCAAGGGTTCGAGAAATACGCGAGCTAAGACCAAACGGCACAATGAGAATCTCTGTGAGCGATAAGGGAGTAGAGTTTGCCGTTATGTCACAGCTCTTGGATCGTGCCATATCAGAAATTCACCTGCGGGATAAAACTATATGCCGTCGTGCAACAGTTAAGGAATTTTCATCACAATGCGAGCGTCTCAGCCATATCGGGATGACATAAGGCATATCTGCAGGTTTTGATGAGAACTTTCCTTTGTGGACTCAGGCTCGACTCTCCAAGTTGTTCTGTATTCTTCAGCTTGGTGAAAACCCACAAACTTGCACCTAACGAGTTACTGTCAACGTCGGCGGACACTTTCGAAATAAGACCTATTATCAGTTGCGCAGGTGGACCAAGCGATAGATTTTCGTGGTTTTTAAACTGTATTGAGAGTCAAATGTTGACCAAGGTCTCCTCACACCTGACCAACACGAACCAAATCCTTGAAAAACTGCGGAATTTGCGCCTCGGTTCAAGTTGCGTAATAGTGTCATTTGACGTCACCTCGCTCTACACCAACGTCCAAAATGAACAAGCCCTACAAGCGCTATCTGAAATGTTGGATGGGCTCGGTAGGAGCATTGAGACTTTTGGACTCGGTAAAGCGCGTATCATGACTTTCATCAACGAATGTCTTGGTTGTAACATCTTCAAGTGGTCAGCTTCTTACTATCCTCAAATTAGAGGTTTAGCCATGGGTCAACGATTAGCTCATGTACTGGCGATCTGCTTTATGAGCAGAATGGAAGAACCAATATTGGCACGCTCACCGTCGATGTACTGTAGATGTACAGATGACTGCTGCATTGTGACTTCAGTACAGTCCGTAATGGATGAGTGTTTCCGTATAATGAACGAGCAGTCACAGTACATCAGGCTCACACGAGGAATACTACAAGATGGTCGGCTCTCCTATCTCAACACTCAAATCAAAGTGTTTAGCGGGTACACGTTAAGTGGTACCGAAAAAGAAGCTCGAACGTTTTGATTCACGCCACATCTGCGCATCCGTCTGCTGTTAAAAGTGCTGTTATGAGGAATATGTACAGGACAGCTACGCGCATGTGCAGTGATATGACCGAACGCGAAGAATCAAGACGATTGACTTCAGGTACCACATTGTGACATTGGAAGATTCCATGTTGAGAGGAGAAACAATTCACGCCAAAACAAATTTCCTCTATGTTTACCGTTTATCTCTGACAAGGTATCTGCTGCAATACAGCGGTGTATTGTTCGAGCACACTTGAGCGATGATGTTATTCTAGTTAACAATCCGCCTGATAACATCAAACGGCAACTTGTGAGGAAACGACTCTACGACAAACAGTGCTTGACAGAGGGTTGCGTTACATGTCCAAACGGGAAAAATGGAGATTGCGTTTCTGTAGACGTAATTTATCAGGTTCAATGTGAGGCATGTAATTCAAGCCACATAGGGGAAACTGGAATCGTTTCATCAGTACGAATCGAAGAGCATTTTGTTGGTAAACGGCGCAGTAATGTGTTAACTCCGTTAGGGAAGCACACAGTAGAACAGCATGATGGCAATGATCTCAACATCAGGTGTACGATATTGGCTCAAGAGACGGAAATATCGTCGAGAAAAGCGTTGGAAACGTTTTGGATTTTAGCTAGAAATCCAGATATGAACAGCCCAAATGAGTTGTCACAATCACATGTGAACTCTTGCCATTTATGCAACACTACGAGTCAGTTCCATAATACGCGAACGTGCTGATCCGCAATAATAATGATATTATTGCATAAATAGCGAAGTAAGACCATTCGCTACTAATGTACTAAACGTGTATCGTAGTGCTATACTTCGCGGTGTAAGTAAGGTGAGCTTATCTTCTCAATTACAGGCATTTTTCGTGCATTCCTGATAGAACGTCATGAACGCTAGAGCGGAGGAGGCGCTTGATGGGGTATTGTGCAATCGAAAGACTTTGAGCCATTCTCAAGCCTTTGAAAATGACGAGTCCGTCGAAACGTTGGGTAGAATAAAGATCCCACCTAATGACCTCGAGGCAGAAGCAAAATTAACCATTTTAAGAACAACAGAAACGCCGAGGTTTCAGGATGAGAGAGTTTGGAATTTATCTCAAAGGAGTTATATCTAGTTTCAGGGGTATCTTCTCTTTGAATGCACGACCCGAATATATTGGGTTGTAACATAAGTTCGTAGGGTTTGTGTTAGGGTCATTTTACAGCGATTCGCTTTGTTTTTTCGTGAAGTGTATATATTCATTCGAAAGAGCTCTTTCTCCTCTATAAAACGGTATTATTCGTTTTTTGGATAATCTAGTTGTATGTCTTTTTTCTGGCTCAGTATTGGAATATCCAGGAGGGGAAAATCAGCATTTTCGACATCTGCTTTTCATCGAGGTCAATAAGCAGCCGAAGCCGCTCGGGACATATGCAGTGTGTACGAAGAAGGTGTCTTTGGTGTGCCTCTGGGTGGCCCCAGGAGAGACAGTGAAGCCGAGAGTCAAGCAAGACCTCCGCTCAAAAAAGGGTCATGATTTGCGTTTGGTGAGACTGGAAAGGCATGGTGCACTAGGAAATGCTCGAACGAAACGCTACTGTCAACAAGGAGGTCTACATTGCCCAGCTAAACCGTGTTAGTGAGGCTATTCGGCTGGGAAGACCCGATAGACAAGGTCAGGTCATCTTGCTCCACGACAACGCCAGGCCCCATAATACCCAAGTCGTCAAAACAGCACTCCAAAAGCTTGAATGAGAGGTTCTTCAGCATCCATCGTACTCT